CTTGTCCGCGATAAGGGACGGGCTAACGTCGAAGTCCGTGCTAGATATCTCGTGTCGGTGATAGGGTCTTCCTCTCGAAGAGGAAGATCGCGTACGAGAAACCGGACGGAACGACGGGAAGGGCGGACGTGTCTGCGGCGTTCCCCAGGGATCGGTTCTAGGACCGCTCCTGTGGAACATCGCCTACGACCGCGTCCTCACCCGGACCGTTCTTCCCGAAGGCGTATCGTTGACTTGCGATGCCGACGACACTTTGCTCGTAGTGACCGGTCGCGGGTGGGCAGAGGTTCGCGAACGCGCCGAAACGGGACTTAACGCGACGGTGGAGGCCATCCGGGACACCGGTCTCCGGGTGTCTCTGCCGAAGACAGTTTCATCGTCCGCGAAACCGACGTCCTCGTTACCGTGAACAACCTAAGAATCGGACTGAATGGCTCGCTGAAATACTTGGGTTTAGTTCTTGATTCCGGCCTTCACTTCGGGGAACATCTGGCGCACCTCGGATGGAAGATCCGAGCCGTTAGCGCGACGTTAGGACGCCTGATGCCGAACCTGCGCGGACCGCAGGTCAGGGTCAGGCGACTATACGCGATTATATACTAAACTCCCACTTTCGCCCACTATACTCCCACATTCGCCCACTCGACACCCACTTTCGCCCACTCGACACCCACTTTCGCCCACTATACTCCCACTATCGCCCCATCGACACCCACTTTCGCCCACTCGACACCCACTTTCGCCCACTAAACTCCCACTTTCGCCCACTCGACACCCACTTTCGCCCACTCGACACCCACTTTCGCTCACTAAACTCCCACTTTCGCCCCATCGACACCCACTTTCGCCCACTATACTCCCACTTTCGCCCACTCGACACCCACTTTCGCCCACTCGACACCCACTTTCGCCCACTCGACACCCACTTTCCCTCACTAAACTCCCACTTTCGCCCACTATACTCCCACATTCGCCCACTCGACACCCACTTTCGCCCACTAAACTCCCACTTTCGCCCCATCGACACCCACTTTCGCCCCATCGACACCCACTTTCGCCCCATCGACACCCACTTTCGCCCACTCGACACCCACTTTCGCCCACTCGACACCCACTTTCGCCCACTCCACACCCACTATCGCCCTATAAACTCCCACTTTCGCCCACTCGACACCCACTTTCGCCCACTCGACACCCACTTTCGCCCACTAAACTCCCACTTTCGCCCCATCGACACCCACTTTCGCCCACTCGACACCCACTTTCGCCCACTAAACTCCCACTATCGCCCACTAAACTCCCTCTTTCGCCCCATCGACACCCACTTTCGCCTACTCGACACCCACTTTCGCCCCCTCGACACCCACTTTCGCCCCATCGACACCCACTTTCGCCCCATCGACACCCACTTTCGCCCACTCGACACCCACTTTCGCTCACTAAACTCCCACTTTCGCCCCATCGACACCCACTTTCGCCCACTCGACACCCACTTTCGCCCACTAAACTCCCACTATCGCCCACTCGACACCCACTTTCGCCCCATCGACACCCACTTTCGCCCACTAAACTCCCACTTTCGCCCCCTTGACACCCACTTTCGCCCATTAAACTCTCCTTATCGCCCACTAAACTCCCACTTTCGCCCCCTCGACACCCACTTTCGCCCCCTCGACACCCATTTTCGCCCATTAAACTCCCCTTATCGCCCCCTCGACACCCATTATCGCCCACTAAACTCCCACATAGTCGTAAACTCGTTAGTCGGAGACGGCGGAGTGTTGGTTCTGCGGTGCGCCCGAGGACGACGTCGAACACACAATTGCGACATGTCCCACGTGGGACGTCCATAGGCAGCGGCTAGTCGAGGCCATCGGTCCCGACTTGTTGATACGCGGCTCAGTGAACGGGTTGCTCCGTGAACCTCGGGAATGGTCCGTGATCTCGCGATTTTCAGAAGCGGTCCTACAGACGAAAGAGGACCGCGAACGCGAACGGGAAAAATTTGGAGTTCGGCGTCGTGCGCTCCAGGAAATAAGAAAAAAGAAGAAAAACGTCGGCGGCAGCGGCGGTGAAGAAGAAACCATCAACGCCTGATCATACCGTGGATTACGGCGACGAACTTAGCTTCGTCGCCGGTAAGTCTAATTATTTTTTCTTATTTCTAACATTTCTTGAGGGTTCGTCGACCCAGGACGATCCCTCGTCTGTCTTTTCCTTACGATCCCGAGAAACCTTAGTATTAGAGGATGCGATCAACTTACACTTAACTTTTAATGACGAAGTCCCTTTTCAGAAAACGAAGGTAAGTCTTTTATCCCCCACCCGATCGCATTCTCAGGAAACAGGCGAGTTTCCCATCCCTTTCCCCCCAGCGAAGGACCGGAGGACACTCCCGAAAGGGACTTGCCAAACGTCCTGGAAAATGCGTTCTCGTCTTCGAGGTGACGGCGTAACGGAGACTAGGGCGAATCTCCCACCAATGTAATCGTGTAAAATGGTAACGTTCTGGCTTCCCGGAGTGGGGACTGACTGAAATGTGGGTACTACCCCAACGATCGTCCCCCCCTCTTCATATAAGCCACGCTATTGCGACATGCTCAGGAATTTTAGTGGGTATGGTTCCCGGTTAGGCCTTCTTTCGAATCCCATACCCCCAATTTCCCACAGGCCACTTTCGAGCCCCACACTCCCTCTTCGGAGGGGTTGTGCGTAATCTGCATTTCTCCTGAGATATGAAAAAAAAAAAGGTTCCCCAAAGTTACAGGGTTAATAGAAGAGAATCGCTCTGCGATATCTCTTAAGCGCATAGATCAGGAGGAGAAGGAGGTGGAGACGTAGTAGGTGGTGAAGATAATTGGGGCCGGGAGTCGTGGCGTGCTTCTGTAATCCAGCTACTTGGAGGCCGGGTGCAGCGGATGTTTATTCTTAAACAGACCTGTTCCTTACCAATCTCGGGGTAGACGACGTGGACCCCGGCATATGTTCTTTCTTTTCAGGGATGCGACCGGATGTCTGGATTCATCGTTCGATCTTCGGGATCATGGGATTGCAAGCAGAAATAACGCGGGAAGATCCAAAGCCCCCCACAGATCAACTCATCTCCGGAATCTTTCGATTCCAACAGGCGATTCGCAAGCGAGGGTCCGCATCGCCACAGCGTAAAAAAGCCCGAGATGACGCGATGGCTCCGACGGGCGTCGACGACGGATGCTGCGACGGCGGATTTTCGAAGCTCAGGAGAGAAGAAGAAGAAGTGATCATCGTAGAGGTTTAAAGTTGAAACGGAAGCGTTTATTACAGCGGCTCAAGATTAGGCATTGCGGACCCATCCCCATGAAAAAGTAATTCTCAAAGTCCGCCAAGATGACAAGTGCCGAATTTACCAATCCCAATCGGAAACCATCGACCATTTCATTTCCGGTTGTCCGATACTGGCAAAACATGAATACTTTTTTTTTATCTGGAGAAAAAAATTTTTTTTCGGGAGTTATTATTATTATCATTATGGTTCGGAATGAAAACATCAGTATATCATAAACCCGAGCCGTCGACCAACAAACCGGATTTCATCCTGAGGTATAATACGGAAAAGTGGTGTAAACTGATTGCAGTATCCGTGCCGGCAAAAAAAAACACGAGACAGCCAAAGAAGCAGACAAAAAGCTGAAGTACAGAAATTTAGAAATTGAAAAAGCCAGGATGTATTTATAAGTTAAACTTTATAATAAGTAAATGTATTAAAAATCAATTTTTTATTAATTTATTGATTTGTTAAATATAAAATCTCCGTCCACCTCTGATTTTAAATATACACCTCCTTTTTCTTATGTTTTTCTGATACATCTTAACGTATTTTACCATTAAAAATTGTTGTAAAAAAATTAAAATTTTGTATCTTTTTTTACGCCTTCATTTTCACTCGTGATTGGTTAATTTAAGGTATATAAAACATACGCCTACGTGGCGTTTTCGTTCCCGCCCCGGTGGAGCCTGAGATCGTTCGACGACGAATGGCTCACCGAGTGTCTCGCTGCGGAGGCCTGGAGAGACGAAGTTGCTCCAGGCGCAGGAAGAAGAAGCGTGCACGACATGGCGCGGGGAGTCCAGAACGACCTACGACGGATCTCGGATTCCTGCATGAAGAGGATCGGCTCGCGCTCGAAAACGCGAAAACGGCTGAAGTACTGGTGGGCAGACGAGTTGGGAGAGTTGTGGAAGGAGTCCTGTCTCGCACGTCGTCTCACCCAGGTCCTCACGGGTCACGGGGTGTTCGGCTCATACTAGGCTCGCATCGGCAGAGAGGAGACGGCGGAGTGTTGGTTCTGCGGTGCTCCCGAGGACGACATAGAGCACACGGTAACGGTATGTCCCGCGTGGTGCACACACAGGGAGCGGCTGGTCGAGGTCATCGGACCCTACTTGTCGATCTGTAGTTTAGTGAACGGGTTGCTTCACGGACCTCGGAAATGGTCCGCGATTTCACAATTTTCGGAAGCGGTCCTACGAACGAAAGAGGACCGCGAACGCGATTGTTAAAAATCCGGAGTTTGACGTCGTATGCTCCGGAAAAGAAAAAGAAAAAAAAACGAAGACGAAGACGGCAAAGAAGAGGTTAAAGTCTGAAGCAGGATGATGATCACCAAATCCGTAGTTGCTTACTGGGCAACCCAATATTATGAAGATAAGGATATTATGAATTTAAAGGGAAATAACGAAGGATAAAAAAGTAAAAAAAAAAAAAAAAATTCATTTTTTAAGATTTACAATATACGTTTTTATTTTCCAAAAAAAAAAAATTTCTTTTTTATTTTAACCGATATACAACAATTCACACACTTTTCCTTCTTAATTTTCCAATTAGAAAAAAAAAACTTCAAATATTTTTTTTTTTTAAATTCGACCGTTTATTATTATTATTATTATTATATTATTTACATTTACAATTTAATAATTAAAAACTCATTATTCTTAAATCATACACACATATATATACGTGTGTGTTTATAAGTAATAATGATAATAAAATTTTTACACACATGTACACTCTTTTTTTTTTTTTTTTGTTTTTGTTTTTTTTATTCACACGCCTTGCTTATTATTATTAATATTATTATTATTATTATTATTATTATTATTAAAATACTGAAATTATAATTTACAAATAATTACATTTAAATCATTTCAACTTTTTCTTTCCATCATAAAAAAATAATAAAAATAAATAAAAAGAAGAAAAAAAAAGACGAACAAAAAAAAAAAAAAGATAATAAAAACAATTTTCAACAAATAAATCTTTCATCTTTCTACGTCACAACAATGACGTAAACATAATTTCAACGTAATGATAATACATAAAAAAAAATAAAAACATTTTTTCCCATTTTTTTTTTAAATTTATTTTTACATATAAAAATATTATTTTATGTTTGTTAATAAACTGGTTTAAAAGTTACAAAAAAATTATTCGATATATCGATCAATCCATCGATCGATACGATCGATACGATCGATATATCGAACAATTATTTTCAACGGGGTTTTACACACTGAGATTCTATAATCAATCAATCAAAGACCGAAAATTAAATTTTTTTGTTTTCTTCATCATCAGACTTAACCTCTAAATGTCTAAACTTAATAATTTTAATAAATTAATAATAATAATAATGATCATTTTCCTTTTGCCTTTTTACAAATTTTTCTTATCACATGAAACCTGTATGCTAACCACCTGGATTCACCCATTTTATACAGATAGAGAGAGAGAGAGAGGGAGAGAGAGAGAAAGAAAGAAAAAAAGGAAAGAAAAAAGTTAAATTAAATCTCTCGTGGAAAAAAAACAATCAACGATTTAATCTTCTCGATCTTCCTCGTCCCGTTCCAACAACGATTTTCTTCTCCCTGTCGGTCATTCTATCTAATTCTAACATGGCTTCTTGAATGGCTGCTTCTAATTCCACGTTTAATCTTCTATTTCTGCGTTTAATAAAAGAAAAAAAAAAAATCGTTTTTATCATCATCGTCATCGTCGTGTCACATAAAATCCATTCTTACTTTCTGCCTTTGTTCGAAGCTCTGTGATGAGCTTCTAACCCCTGAGATAAACTTTGCAATTGTGAAATGTTTACTTTGGTAGGTGAACTGTTACATCCGAACCAACGTACGACGGCTTTACCTCCGGTACCATTGAGACCGATCAATTTTCCAGGCCATGCTGGAGAACCTCTAACGGGTCCCCAAACCAAATCTCCTTCGGATAATTTTTCCTTCGAGTCTGTCAATTCTAAATAATAATAAAAATTACTTTTTATTACTACACACACACACACACACACACACACGACTACAGAAAAAAAAGAAAAAATTTTTAATAAGGTGATGGCGGCGGTTTATCTTTAACGGAAAAAACGAAAATGAACGAAACGTGCGTGAGCGCGCGCTCTCGAGGCCCTCGACTTAATTAAAATCGGGTTTCTGAACGTACCTTTTTTTTAAAACAAAAAAAACCGCGGATTAAAACCAAACGACGCCATTATATTAACGGTCGCGGATTAAAAACTCGAAAACAAACAAACAAACGAAAATGTTCCGGAACGTTTTCAAAAATTTAAAATTTTGAATTTATTTTATTAATTACCATCACCATCTTTATTAAATGAACAATAAATGAAATGTAATAAATAAATTTCCATACCTTTTTACCTGAAGGTGAAAGCACGGCAAGTCTTTAAGTCGTAGGCAGAGAAGCGTGATTAAGCTGAGACTTATGTACAATTTTTATCATTATCATTATTATTATCGTCATTATTTTTAATAATTGTAATAATAATAATAATAACAAGCAACAGCAACAATAGTAATAATAATAATGATGAACACGACGATGATCATGATGATGATGATGATGGTGGTGATGATGTTGATGATGATGATGATAACGATTATCACTATTGTTGTTATTTCTTTAATTTTTTTTTTTATTTATTATAAATAAGATTCTTAATAATAATAATAATAATAATAATAATAATTTTTTTTATTATTAGATTTGCAAAGCGAATTGGCTGCGTTTCCAAGTCCAACCTCAAAGCACCAAAAGCGCTATAAGCTCATCTTGCTCTGTTAAACCTTACAACCTGAGAAATAAGGATATTAAGGTACATTTTAATGATATTAATGATATTTAAATAAATGTTTATCTTGTTTATATATCACATCATCATTATGTATTTAACCGCATTTTTTTTTTTATTTAAAAAAAAAAAAAAAAAATTAATTTTTGCAAGTGAATTAAAAAAAATAAAAGCGAATCATTAATAATATTAAGCTTATGAGCGTATATATATATTAAAAGCCGGCCAACAACAATGCAAAATAATTAATTTTTGATCGTACCTTCGTCTTCGAGGTCGTTTGGTTTGTTTTCTCCGATTAAAGCATCGACCAGTCTTACTACTTTGTCTTCTTCCTGGTAACTTGAATTGTTCGATTGAGATTCAATACGTTTATCTTGAACGTTTATATCCGAATGAGAGCTAACGATGCACTCCTGCAGAGAAAATTCCCACGTTTTTGATCCAATTGTTTTCATTAATTGTTTTAAAGTTGATTATTACTTACGTCTCCACCACCACCACCACCACCACCACCTGATCTCATGTGATCGGATGACACGAAATTATTCCTTATTTGTATTTGAACCCCGGTTTCCTGAAGGATCGTACTCGATTCCACGATATTTTTAGATTTGTTACTTTTCAACGATAAATTATTATCACCCGACGTGACTCTTTTCCGAATCCCTGGTAAAATGTATCCTTCGTTTTCGCTTTCGCATTCGCTGATACTGCTCGAAACGTATTGAACCATGGCTTGAGGAATGGTGTCCGATTTGTCTTCGGACGGTGTGGGTATTCTTTCGTAATTCGTATCAGATTCTACGGGACTGTGAGTCGTCGTGTCCGGAGGACTCCCGCTCCAATTCGAGTTTAACGTTTGACAAAATGTATTGTTTGTCGTGACTCCTCCTCCCAAAATGGTCGGTTCTTCGCTGACCGTCGTTTGAGTCGATACCGAATGCTGAGTACCGAAATCCATTTTGTCTTGGACCATTATTTTTTGGGCTTGGACATTCGGTTGTTGAACGTGGGTACCTGCTACCGTTTTCGGCGGTTGACTCGAACGTTGAGTCGTCCCCAATATTTGCAACTCGATGGGTTTGTCGACATTATTCGAGTTACTTAAAATAAAATTTGATTTTCCGGAATTGTTTAAGAGATTTTGATTGTTAGATACCATTGTCGTCTGCTGTTGAACGATCGTGGTGTTCTGCTGTACGACGGTCGTGTTTTGCGAACTACTGGTCGGTATGATTTGAATAAAATCTTGAGGTGATTGCCTTTGAGGACTGCTCGCGAAAATCTGCTGATTCGGTGACAAGCTAGCAGCTATAAGAGGACTGAGTTGACCTTGAAATTGATTTACCAAAAACTGACTATTGTTCGGTGACAAAAATTGCGGACTCGGATTGTTCTGAATAATTTTTTGTTGATTATTTGGTGCGCGAATGAGCATTCCGGTTGGAGTCGACAATATGCTTTGTCCGTTAATAAAACTTGTGTTTTGCACGGGAGTCAAAACGTTCTGACCGTTAACATTTTGAAGTTGAAGTTGTACTCCGATATTTGTGTCAGGAAGAATGGTCGTCGTGCCATCTGTTGACATCACCATATTTCCTAATCCAGGTACGATGAATTGTTGAAAAGCCGGAAAGTTAGACACAGATGCTAAATTCACGGGTTGCAACAAGTTGATTTGTTGGGGCTGACTGCTAAATTGATTAAAATTATTTTGATTATTCATAACGATTTGAGTCGGAGCTCCTTGTTTGCCTTGTACGAGAGTCACAGCTTGCAAAGGTTGCACGCTTCCACCTGGCGAAACGGCAAAATTTTGCGGACCGAAAGGTTGGTTTAGAATGACGTTGTTCGGAGAAGTCATGTGCACCAAAGAAGTCAACTGATTCTTTCGCTTTTTATTATTCTTTTTATTTTTTACTTTTTCGGGAGCCACCCCTCTGATAGAATTTCTTAGAGCATTGTTATCTATTACATTGCCCTGTAGGACATTTCCAGTGGCTACGGCTAAACGTCCGATACCGGTATCGACTGCCATGACTCCAGGTTGAATCATGAAAGGAGCAGGTACCGCATTCACTAAAACCGTTGATTGTCCTAAAACTTGTTGTGCTACTCCCACTGCGGGCAGAACTTGCGTCACTGCTCCCGTCACGTTGGTGACCACGGGTGATGCACTCATCGGAGGCATTGATCCCGTTTGACTCAATTTCAAACTCCCTAAATTTGTTTGTGGAATGACGTTCCCATTCGAAGCAACTATGTATTGACCATTGCTGGACACTAAAATATGACCGGTTTGTAATCCTCCAGGTGACGTCTTTAAAACTGTAGCAGCAGCGTTTGAATTGTCATTAGCAAGTATGGATGTAGTCACGCTCACCGGTGTCGTAAATATATTTGTCGTTATTACATTTGACGTCGTCAATAAATTTTTAGAAGCCGGAGTTATATTCGTCTGCAACTCGCTTTTCGAGACTTCTGATGACGTTTGTATACTACTGACAACACTTTGCACCATTTCCAGAGGCGATTTGTTTTTCGTTTTTTGTGTGATAGCATTCAAAATATTTTGACCGGATATATTGATGAGTGAAACCGTTGACGGTGAATTCGAGTTGTTGCTGACCGTAACTGTTGCAGTCTGCGTTCTACCCGCTTGAACGGATGTAATAGTATTACTACTAGCGGTGTGACTGCTCGCCATGGTTTTCACTAAACGATTTCCTTTGATTTCATTATCTTTCTGACGAATTTCCCTTTCTTCCCGACTGCTGCTCGAAACGGGCTGTATCTTTATTTGATTTTCTTGTTTGTAAAAATTACTCTCCGTATTTTGATCTGATGACGTAGACACGTTTGCAAAAGTCCTGTTGTGAAATTTATATTTAACGTCATTGTTGGGAGAATTAGATCTTTTAGAGGGGCAACCGTTTCGTTGCAAAGTTTGCACAGTTGGGACAGTTCCGTTAGTTTTATGCAAATTATCTGCATTTGAAGAATTTAAATTATTGTCGTTTTCCCTGACCAATTTGACAGAGTTTGGCAAAGGTGCTGCGTATGAAGAATTCGTAGACGATATTTGAACATTTCCAAGTACGGGACTTTGAGGTAGTAATTCTGAATGCTTAGGAGATGAAATTTCCTGTCTGAAAGTGTTCGAAGATGTTGGAGACGGTTGGGGCTGTGGAGACTCGTTACTCGTGCTTATGGTGCCTCCCTGAATGGGTCGCGAATCCGAAACGACTTTCTGATTAAACTGAATCGATGCGTGATGCTCGGTGGAGGACGTCACCGGATTATCTTCCATAAAAGTTTCATCCTTTGTTCTCGATTGTTTTGCATCCCCTCGACATTGTTCAGACGCTCTACAATCGTTTTTACTGCAAACTTGCTTATTCAATTCCGTGTCCACTTTTTCCAAATCTTCTTTTATAAATTTTATTTTTTCACTTATGTGTTGTTGATCGTTTGAATTGTCTTTTTCAATGTTGTTAAAGATGGACGAATTTTTGCAATTCATGCAATTCATGTTCGGACACACGTGATTATTAAATGTAACGTTTCGTACGGTTCCAAAACCGTTGGAATTGTTTTCTCGATTTGACACATTTTCCTTTTCAGAAATATTTTTCTGAATTATTTGAGACTGCATGAGATTGTTGGAATCTAATTTTTGTCCAACCGTTGGCCTGAGAGTAAAAGTACCATTTCTTGAAAAAGGTACCAAAACACCTGAAGATACTACGGAATTTGAATTGTTTACTAATGCGGATGAAGTGATTCCCAGCGACGTGTTGGGCGAATTTGGTCGAATTATATTTGGTTGCACATCCGGTCGCGTATTTAAAATGTTAAAATTGGGTCGAGATATCGTATTGTGAAGCAAAGCAGTTTGCTGAGCCAAATACGCGCTTGGATTTTCCATGAAAGAGGGCTGACTTTGCTGAGGCGGATCTTGTGATGCTTTTTTAACTTTTGAATTCACTTTATGCTTTTTACGAGATGTGGCATCTTCTAAAACTAACGTCGGAGGCGGCATTTGCTGCTGAATATAAGGAACTTTGTCGTAAACTACGTTGGGTGTCTCAGGTACTGGTTTCTTATTCATCGTTAACCCTGCTTGATGCCACGGTGGAATCGATCTCGGTCTCTGCATCATCACGTTGTGCGGTAAAATCATACCCTGAGGAGCGATCACGACCCCTTCGGGTTTAGGCGTCATCACCGTATTTTGTAAAAATTCTTGACCGCAATGATTATTGTAATTGATCGTGTGATTCACAACGGTTTGACCCACGTCTTGCCTTTGACTTCCTAACGAGTTAACATTTATTTGAGTCTGTCTCATCAAATCATTTCCAGCAGAATGATTTTCCGACAACACTTGATTAACTCCGTTTACGTTCAAAACGGTCTCCTCTCGACCTGCATTATTAATAACGTTAACACAAGGGAATTGAGGAACTTTGTCGTCTAGTCCTTGCGCAGGCGGGGGTTCTCCTTTGTAAGCGTTCGCGTTTTGAATGTTGTTATTTTCAAAATGTTGCTGCTGACGCAAAGGTGGTTGATTTCTAATCACTTGAATGCCCTGATACTGATTCGGTATGATATTTTGATAACTGACGTTTTCCGATAATACGCCACCGGGAGACGGCCATCGTGCTGCTGCTGTTGCCGCAGCCAATGCCCGATCTCTCTGTGCCAAAAGTTGAGATACGGACACCCCTGAAGAATTGTTTATATTTTTCTTCTTTTTCTTCTTACAAGGTACGATTTCTGAAAAGCAGCAAAAAAAAAAAAAAATATTAGAACGGTTGAAATAAAACAACGCTATGGAGTTTGTCGGGGTTTCACGGGGGGGGTGGGGGTGGAAGAAAGGGGAAACGTTTTGAACAATGCATAAAACGGTTAAATTAATTTTATACCTTTAATTATAATTTATTTAATATACACAAAAAAAGCGAACGCATTTTTGGGTTTTTTTTTTTTTTTAACTTTGGGGGAAGAAAAAAAAAAAAAAAGGAAAAAAATTAGGGGAAAAAGGTAGTAGTAGCATCGTTACAAACGCCTGCAGTGTAGGGGGCACCCTGTTATTATTATTTAAAAAAAAAAAAAAACAAAAAAGAAACGAAAAAGTAATAAAACAAGATATAAACACGCCATGTTGATGACAATACCTGATAATGTTTAATATTCTGATGATTTTTAACTGATAACCAACAACGGTCGTGCGTCTGTACTTTCGTTTGAATTTACATTTTTATGTCCGACGTATTTGCCGTCTAGACAATTAACCAAGTCAAAAATAATATTAAAAAAAAAAAAAAAATTAAAACAAAAACAAAATAAATCTTTCCACCATATCATATCAAACGTCAATTTACTACTCATTGTGTGAGAAAGGTGAGGGGAAGGGAGCGAAAGAGAAAGAGAGAGAAAGAGGAGAGGGGGGCGACAATCAAACAAAAAAACAAAAAAAATTAAATAATTTAATTAACGAAAAAAAAAAAAAAAAAAGAAGGAAGGAAGGAAAAACGTTGTTCCAGATAATCCATCCACGATGAACAAAAAAAAAATTCACTCGAAAGACAAAGGAATCGATTTCGCTGGGAAAACGATTCGAGAGAATCGATCATCATCGTACCTTGATCGTCACTATTATTATTATCATCACCATCGTGATCATATTTTTCGACTCGCCTTAAAAACAACAACAACAACAAAAAATTATAAATTTTTTTTTTTGTGTTTAAGTGGCAATGATGACGCATTTAAAATGATAGAAATTTCAATGTCAAATTTTTTGCTTCATTTTAAGACGTAGAATTTATTTTGAAAAAAAGTTTCGAATGGCATTTATTAATCCCGTGATTTATTATCATTAACTATTTAAACCATATAACTGTTGCGTTAAAAAAAAAGTTTGATTGGATTTGCCAAATCCATGCGAAGAGAGAGACAGAGACAGAGAGAGAGAGAGAGAGAGAGAGAGAAAATCATTTAAGATTAATAATTCAACAAACACATTTTTAAATATACTCAAAAGGCAACACAAATTGTTTTGCTAAATTTTGATGATTATGATGATGATTATTATTATTTATACTATTATTATTATAGTGAACACGATGATTATGATAAAATCGAATCGAATTTAAAAAAAAAAAAAAAAAAAAAAATCAAAATGAAAAATAAATTACAAACGAGATCGAGACAAAACGACGAATCACGGAATCATGTCGTAAAAAAAAAAAAGTGGCAATAGAAATCTTCTGACACGCGAATGTACGCCTTCAGGGTGGCAATAAAATAAAAAAAAAATTTCGACAATGAGTCAACGGACCCACAACAACACCAACACCAATCTCAGCCATTATTTTAAATGCGATGTTTTTTTACGCGACAACGTCGTCGACGACGTTGACGATGACGATGACGATGATGATGATGATGATGATGATGGCGATTTCACAAGCAAGCAATCAAAGACAATCCACAAAAAAAAAAAAAAATTTAATTTTTTTTTTTTTTTCGTGTCACAAATTTTTAATATTTGATTTTAATTTTTAATTTTTAGTTTTTTTTTTTTTTTTTTTTTTTTTTTTTTTTTTTCCGGCCCTGGCTGGGCACCCCAAATTATTTTTTTTTTTTTTTTTTTTTATTAGGAACGGGGGGGTTTTTCCCCCCTTAACTTTCTTTAAAACGGGCCCAAAAAAAAAAACACCAACAAAAAAAAACGGTGGGGAGGGTCGTTCGTAACCCGGAAAAATTTTCCAAAGCCCCGTTTTAATTTTTTTTTTTTAAAAAAAAATTTTTCAAAAATTTTTTTAAAAAAAAAAACAAAGGAATTTTTAAAAAAAAAACAAAAACAAAAAAAATTCGGTGGTTTAAACCTTTTTTTTTCGAAAACATTTACATACCCCCCCCCCCCCCCCCCCCCCCATACCCAGGCCCATTTTTTCAACCCCGAAATAAAAAAAAAAAAAAATTTTTTTTTTTGATTTTACGGGGGGGAAAACGAAAATGAAGATGAAGAAAAGAGAAAAAAATAAAATAAAATAAG